TGGAAAACCGATTGCAGCGCGCAAGGATCAAAACGAATAACATATGCACTAGCTCAGCCAAATGGGCTAATTTATAAAAAATAAAAAAAAATAAAAATTAAAAAAAATAAATAAATAAAAACAGCAAGAAAATAACAAAAACTAAAAAAAAGCTCATAAATTCAATGTCACAGCTTATTTGACCCACACTGTTTTAAGAACAGTTATATTCGCGTAAAATGAATATTAAAGGTACTATTTCAGCTTTTATTTTGACTATTAAATTTGCAATGTGAAGCTAAAGTATTCTTACCATTCAAAGTGAGATTTTGTCAAGGAAACACGTATTTGCAAAAATGGAAAAGCGCACAACAAAACAGCAGCGGTAATCGGTGCTACACCACTTTGAATCGCGGCGCGAAATTGCAGAGTTCGTTAATTTACCCGAATCTACAGTAAACAAATAATATACTTATTTGTTTTTGAAAACAGAGTGCGAAAATTAAAATAGCACCAAAGCAAATGCAAAGTTTAAGAAGTTCTCCTAAATATATTTCTCAGTGTATTGATCTACTTTTTGCTTTTTTATCCAGCCGAAATGGAAATTCTCACAAAAAAGTTGGTCGCTAGGTTGTTCAAATAAAAAGATCTACAATGCAACTCCATAAAAAAGTGATGAAAAACACGGACGGCGTTGAGCCCTGTCCCAACATCATGTCATTCGACTCACTCGCGAGAGTAAAAAGGATCCTTTTAAGTCGGCTACTCAACTAAAAAAGGAACTAAACATATCAGCAACGGACCAAACAGTACGTAAATATTTAAGATATCAGGGTCTGAATGCTCGTCGTCCAGGCCCCATACCATATTTGAATATAAATCACATTTCCAAACGGATGGCATTCGCAAAGCAACACAAAAATTGGTCTGACCACGAATGGAGAAACATACTTTGGACTGAAAGTAAGGTGGAAAAGGATCGCGGTCCTAAGTGAGACGTTCACAGAACTCGAAATTCAATCCTAGATGTACAACAAAAACCATTAAACATAGCGGATCAGGTGTAATGGTATGAGGATGCTTTTCGTACTGTTGTGTAGGCTCAATTCACTGGATCAAAACCATAATGGACCGACATGTTTATGTTGATATATTACAAAATGTGATGCTGCCCTACGCGGAGTACAATATGCCACTAAAATGGGTCTTCCAGCAAGGCGATGAAGGAATGGCTCAATCAACCATAAGGTGTGGCTTGCGCAGTAGCCGAACCTGAATCCAATCGACAGCTTGCGGGCGAATGTCAAAAAAATTGTTTCTGAATCTAATCCAACTAATGCAAAGATGTTTTGGGAAGCTAAAGGGGAGCTAAAATTTTTCTTAAACAATGCCCGCACTTGGTCAAATCCATTCCTAGGCGCTGTGCAGCCTTGATTGCCAATAAAAGCAACACAACCAAATACTAAACTAAAGTAATATTTATACTCATTCTCGAAAGTGAAATGAGTATATTGCTTTTGTGCAATGTCCGTCTTGCTATCCGTATGTCCGTATGAAGGCAGTTTAGTTCAGTGGTATTTAAGCTAGAGACTTGAAATTTGGAGCACATACTCGTGTATCTCCGATCTATAGTGCTAAAATTGTCCCGATCCGCCCACTAGGGGTGTGGCAAATCGGAAAATGAATTTTCCGATATACCAGAAATCATGTT